GGTTTCGAACTCCTGAGCTCAAACAATCCGCCCGCCTCGGCCTCCCAGAGTGCTAGGATTACAGGCGTGAGCCACCGCGCCCAGCCTAAAGCAGTCTTTTTAAAGATTTTATTTCCAGTTCATTAGTGGGAACTTAGTGAAAGCTGTTATCTTTGTTCCAAGCTGAGAGACACCTGATCTAAATTGAATCTTGATCTTAGGTGGAGGACACAAGATATTTTTTTCTCTTTGGTCTTTGGTTTATAAAAATCCATTTTTATAGTAGTGATTGTGCCATATTCTGCTTGAGAAGGAGAGGTAAGGATGATACTCCAGTTCATCCTGTGCAGAGAACTGTTTTGTCCTTTCATGGTTATTTCTTTTCTGGCTTAGTACTTAACATTTTATGAAGTACTTTCATATAGATAATTGGATCTTTATAACAGCTGTGAGATAAGCCTGGCAGGAATTATTATCCCATGTTATGAGGAAGCTGAGAGTATTGAATTGGAAATTGGCAGGTCTAGTACTTGAACTGTTACTGTGTTTCTGGTCCAGTGCTTTTTATCTTATACTGTGTTACTCTTGTAAAGAAAAGCAGCATCTAAAATGTTTTCTGACAGGTGTTCAGTGTATTTTGGCTTGCTTTTTGAGTCATCTAACCTGTTAGTATTGAGTCGTATCTTGGAGGAACATTTTCTTTAAAAAATGCTCTAGAAATAGATTTCTGCTCTTGAGAAACTGTTCCATACCACCTATAAACATATTGTCAGTATATTGAGATAATTATTGTTTTTTCCGTGTTTAAGGTCTCTTGGTCTTGCTGTGGCACCACGGGTAAGATTTCTTCAGAAAGTACAGAAACAACAACCCACCAAAGAATTGGTAATGAGCCAAGCCAATAAAGTTATTGAGCCAAGGGCTCCCTCCCTCACCAATGATGAAGTGGAAGAATTTAGAGCCTACTTCAATGAGAAAATGTCCATCCTTCAGAAAGGTGGAAAAAGGCTGGAAGGGACAGAGTGCAGACTAGCTAATAGTATTAGTGAGGAAGAAGATGAAGAAATAGAAGAGAAACCGGGAAAAGCAAAGGGGTCTCAAACTCAATCTGTTCGTAACACTGAGGCACAGAAGATCGAGGAAGTTCCTATGCAGTTCTTGGACAGAGATGAGGAGGAAGAAGATGCTGATTTCTTTAAAGTTAAGCGTCACAATGTGTTTGGGTTGGACCTTAAAGAGAATAAAGCATTACAGGTAAGTTTACTTCTGATTTAGGGTCTTCTGTTACGTCATTTTACCGTGTGCTTATTGTTGCCTTTTGGGAACTTGGGGAAAATAAGAACTAAGAGAAATTTAGAATAACTTCTTTACAGTGAACTTTTCCTCTTTGCTCCCATATTTAAACATAAAATAAGTGCCAAAGAATTCTTTTTTTTTTTTTTTTTCTTTTTATTTCAGACAGAGTCTCACTCTGTTGCTCTGGCTAGAGTGAGTGCCGTGGCGTCAGCCTAGCTCACAGCAACCTCAAACTCTTGGGCTCAAGTGATCCTCCTGCCTCAGCCTCCCGAGTAGCTGGGACTACAGGCATGTGCCACCATGCCCGGCTAATTTTTTCTCTATATATTTTTAGTTGTCCAGCAAATTTCTTTCTGTTTTTTTTTTTTTTTAGTAGAGATGGGGTCTCGCTCTTGCTCAGGCTGGTCTCGAACTCCTGAGCTCAAACAATCTGCCCGCCTCGGTCTCCCAGAGTGCTAGGATTACAGGCGTGAGCCACCGCGCCTAGCCCCAGAGAATTCTTAATATTGTTCATAACTTTGGGAACTCTGAGAGGCTGACAACTTTAATCTTATTTACTGTTTTTCTGATGCTGTGTTTTAAAAGTAGCCAGTCATTATAACAAAGGAAAGTGATGAGGTTTCATGGTTGATGGTATGAGGATCCTTCATCATGATTCTTAAGATACTGTTTTCTGATTGATTAAATTGTAAGGAACAGTTGTAATTATTTAAATCTTTCTAAACATGAGTTTTACTCTTAGTGAGACATTTGCTTTTGGGAACCAAGCCAATATCTTAAATAGAACTAAGCATGTCTTTTAAAGGCCACTTATGAAGGTTTATTAAAAGTTTCATGTAAATCCTTTGTTTCTCTATAGCCACCTGCTAGGAGGAACAAAAGAGATAATCCAGCTAAAGCACCTGTTTTCTGGGATCCTTGTAGGTGCACAGTAAATGTTTCTCTTTCTCTTCTCTTATTCCCCTTCCTACTTAGTATGCCTTAATTCTTGTTCATCTTTTAAAGAGAGTTGAATAAAAAATGAAGCCTGATTCTTATCCTTCACACAATGTTTAATAAAATTCCAAGACTCACAGTAGGAAATACATAATAGATTTTGAATCATGAAACTTGGAAAGGTGTTTAAGTAACTAAAGACTTAAAAACAAACAAACAAAAAAATCCAGCAAACCTGCTTACTGAGCACTTAATATGCATTATGTATTAGGCATTTTCTAAATGTTACCTCATTTGGTCCTTCAGATAACCTATGAGGTAGGAACTACTTTATCTCATACAGGTGAGGAGGGAAAAGCTGGCACAGAGACAATATAATACTGTAGTAAACTATACAACTAGAAAAGGGTAGAGTTGGAATTTGTACTTAGGTGTTGTGACTTCAGTATTTCTGTGTTCTTGGGCCAGTAATCATGGACTGTCTCATTCTGCTTTAAATCAAACCATTTTAAGTCTGCAGTTGAAACTCACTTTCAGTGAAGTAAGAACAAGAAGATTTTGTTTTAAGTCAATGTATTAACTATTTTGTATACCATTTTCTAAGAAACATGAATATAGTTAAAGTTAACAGACTAGAGTTAAGATTATAAAGGACTGATACAGTTTTGTAAGTGTGTTCACATAAGTAGGGCATATGTCTTAGGTATTGGCTCATCTTGCATTTGAGAAAATTAAATGTATATTGCAAAACAAGTTTTAACTTTCTAAAATAGATTACTTTAGATAACTGTATAGTAAAACTTTTTAAAGTATACAATTTGAGTTTTGACAAATGTAAGCTGTTGTGTGATCACCACCACAGTCAAGAAGAGAATAGTGACCGAACGCAGTGGCTCACTCCTGTAATTCTAGCACTTAGAGAAGTTGAGGTGGGAAGATTGCTTGAGGCCAGGAGTTTGAGACTAGCCTGAGCAACATAGCAAGACCCCATCTCTATAAAAAACAGAAAAATTAGCTGGGGCATGGTGGCTTGTACATGTAGTCCCAGCTGCACGGGAGGCTAAGGTAGAAGGATTGCTTGAGTCCAGGAGTTTGAGGCTGCAGTAAGAGACCACTGCACTCCAGCCCTGGCAACAGGGAGACCCTATCTCCAAAAAAAAAAAAAAAAAATGCCGTCACTCTAAAACATTCCCTCATCCCCCTTGCAATCAATTTCTTCACCCTACATTCAACCTCTGGTAATCACTGATCCGATTTCTATCCCTATAGTTTTCCATTTTTCAGAAAGACATGTAAATGGAATAATACAATATTGTAGCCTTTAGTGTCTGGCTTCTTTCACTTAATGTTGATGGATGTATCAGTTGTTTCTTTTCGTTTCTGGGAGGTACTCATTGTACGGAAGTACCACAGATTTTTTTTGTTTGTTTATTTGTTTTTTTAGTAGGCATTGGTTGTTTCCAGTTTTTGGTGATTATGAGAAAAGCCACCCTAAACATTTACATACGAGGTTTTGTGTAGATAGTTTTCTCATTGCTTGGAGGTATATATCTAGGAATTAGGGTTGCTGTGACATGTGTTAAGTGTATGTTTAACTTTGAAAAACTCCCCAGTTGTTTGCTAAGTCAACTCTTCCAATTAGTGTTCCTGACAGGAGTAGATGGGAGTTCCAGTTGCATCACACCTTGCCAGCATGTGGTACTGTCAGGCATCTTAACTTAAGCCATTCTAGTAGATATGTAGTGATATCTTACTGAAGTTTTAATTTGCATTAAAATACCTGAACATCTTTTCATGTGCTTATTTGTTATCCATGTATTGTCTTTGAAATGTCTATTCAAGTCTTTTGTCTTTCTCCCTAAAATTGTGTTGCTCTCCTTATTGAGTTTTAAGATTTTTTTTTAATATATTCTGGATACATATCTTTTATAAGATGTATTTTGCTAATATCTTCTCCCCGTCTATAGCTTGTTTTCACTTGTGTGTCTTGTAAAGAGCAGAAATCTTAAATTTTGAAGTCCGATTTATCACTTTTTGGGTCATATCTGTCAAGTCTGTGATTAACTCAAGGTCACAAAGATTTTCTTCTGTTTTCTTCTAGAGGTTTTGTACTTTTAGCACTTAATGTTAGGATCCATTTTCACTTAATTTTTGTGTATGGTGCTCTGGTAAGGGTCAAGGTTCACCCTTTTGAGGGGGGTGCGGGGGGTATGGGTATTTAATTCATCCAGTACCATTTGTTGAGGAGACTGCTTTTTCCATTAAATTACCTTGACCCTTTGTTGAAAGTCAATTGACCCTATATGTCTCTTTGTGGAGTCAATTCTGCCGTATATGTCTATCCTTTCACCAGTAATGCCTATCTTGATTGTATAGTTTTATAGTAAATCTTAAATCACGTAGTGTGAGTCTTTCAACTGGATCTTTTTTTCAAAACTAGTTTGACTGTTTTTAGACCATTGCATTCTCATGTAAATTTTTGAACCAGCTGGTTAATTTGTACAGCAAACTTGATATCTCCATTGGGATTGCAACGAATTTATAAATACTATTTGGAGAGAATTGACATCTTAACAATATTGAGTCTTCTGATCCATCAATATGATATCCTTCCATTTATTTAGGCCTTCTTTAATGTCTTTTAGCATTGCTTTATAACTTTAAGCACACATATCATGCACACGTTTTGTTAGATTCATCTCTTTTTGGTATTTTTCAATGCTATTATGAATGGTACTTTTAAAATTTCAATTTCCAGTTCTTTCTTGCTAGTATAAATATACAATTTGTTTTCATATACTGAGCATTCTAAACTGGTCTATTAGTTGTAGTGATTTTCTTTGGGGTTCTTTGGGATGTTCTCTGTAACTGATTATGGTGTTTGTGGGTAAAGATAGTTTCATTGCTTTCTTTACCATCTGTGTGCCTTCTATTTCTGCCTTTGAATTCTTAAAAATCAGTACTGATTTACACCAAAATATCTTTTTGATTCTTCACCATGTTTTTAAGGCATGGTTTTGAATGGGACTCTGTATCTATGATCTCAGTGGGCTTTTCATTTTAGCCTTTGCTCTTACGTTTTATATTTTAGTATTGTGTTATACCCGTCACTCACTGGAAGATGCTTTTTTCCTTTATTACCTATTTTTAAGGATAAACCTGATGAAGTAAAGAAAAACGATACAAAAATGGGAAATAATCCTATTATTTGCACATATATAAATGAGTGTATTCCCTTTGGGAGACTAAGCACCTTTTCAGACACTGTTGCCTTTGTTCAAAAATTTTTCTTCCTGTTTTAGAATCATCTTCATAGACACCATACCGGGCATACTGGAGAACTGGTTCCATTACTTGTAGTTTATCCTGTTTATCTTGATTATCTTTTTCTTCCTTACTTGTCTCCCTGGAAAAGGGAGAAGATTTGTAGAACTAAATTGAGACTTGGAACCAATAGGAACACATTGGATTGTAGAGTGCATGGAATTTGTTTAATAATCATATTGTTATTAATACCATAACAATGTTTATTTGGCATTTTACCGTGTAGTGAATACTTTCCTTATAAGTTCTCATTTTTTCCTCATGACACGAAAGGTAGATAATTACTTAAATTTCAGAGGACGAAGCAAAGGCTTTTAAATGACCTGTCCAAGGTCACGTTGGTAAAGTTGGAACCTAAACCTATTTGTGATGCCAAGTCACATTCTTCTCTTCAGCCCCGCCTGCCATCATTTGCATGTCATTTGCTTTCTGTAGCCAGGTAATGTCAGTGTAATTGACAGTACTGTAAATAATTTTGGGCTACTGGTTGTGTGCACAGAGTTGGAATATAGAATATGTTTGTCTTTAGGCTTACGCGTGAATGGAGAAGAGAGCTACTGAGTGCCAAGTGCAAGCAATGCCTTCTGGAAGGCTGCCTCATCACAGTCCTTTTCTATTTGACAAGATCAATGCAGTGAAGGACAACCAGCTTTCCTTAGCAATGGAAAAGGAGTCAGGAGTGATGGCGCAATAAAAGA